TTGATGAAGGGGAATTAATTTTTTTTTTTTTTTTTTTTTTTTTTTTTTGCATTGAGGACTGAACCCAGGGCCTTCGTGGTGAGCTACACCCTTATTCATTCTTCTTTTGTAAAATTTGAGACAAGGTCTTGCTTAATCTCTAAATTGTCCAGGCTGGGCTTTAATTTGTGATTTTTCCACCTCAGCCTCTAAGAGTGCTGGGATTACAGGCTTGTGCCACCACTTCTGAGTAAAACCATTTTCATTAGCAAGGACACTACTCTTCCTGTGTTTACTGGTTTCAGAATGCCAAAGCATGGTTAAAGGAAGTACTGACACTTTCAAGGGGCTTTTAAGCCCCAGTTTCTGAGCTCAATCGCTCTGATGTGTTAGCTTCTGCAAGCATGCAAACGTTGCTTGCAATAGATCTTAAGCAAGGCACAAGGAAGGTATTCACCTGTGGGACTGGAGAATAGCATGATGCATTAGAAACTCTGGTGCCCCACAAGGCAAGAAATAATAAACACTCTACCTTTAATGTAACAAACTTTCCATTCCCCACCCTGAACCCAGGCAGCTGCACACACAAATCAAAACCTTCTTAAGTCATGGAATGAAAAAAAAAAAAAAAAAGCTAAAGCAAAGTAAAAGCAAACAAAAAGCACTTTCTGTGAAGTGAATGGAAATTTTCGCCCAGTTTATTTTCCAGGCATAAGAAAAGCAATTCTGAATATTTAAAACCACAAGTAATTGTGTTCTTAACTGAGGCTTTTGAGAAGGCTAGATCTGGGAAGGATCACATTAAGGGGACTTTGACATAAAATACCATTTACATAGAAGCGAGTCCAAGTCCTCTTCCGCTCTTATCACCAAATGTCCTACAAACCAAGAAGCAGGATGATTGGGAAAAGGCAAACAGATTCCTATCACATAGAAGCTCACATTCCCAGCTGAACTAAAGCTGAATTTAACCATGACTTGCACAACCTTTCTCCCCTTGAGGTATGAATATTGCACCTAAATTTTATTATGAAATCTTTTTTTTAAAAAATTCAAATAATTTGGAACTTATTAGGAGTAATTAGGACCTAAGTACCCTTCCTCCATGAAGTTACAAGATCAAAAAAGTGATGTTAGGAATAATTTATGGTCAGACAAACAAGGGCCCGAGTGTAGTATGGGGTTCAGAACTTCATGGTATGGGTTTAACCTGCTCTATCCCTTATCGGCTATGTGACCCTGGGCTGATTACTTCATTTCTCTGTCATTTTCCTCATCTGTGACATGGGAATAATAATGAGTTGGTCCTGGTACAGCTGGAATGAAACATGGTAAATATGTTCAGTGACTGTTCATGGCGAATATGAATGCTCCTGTATCTTCTCCTGTGAAGCTGCAGTGCATCTCTAGAATTTGGGGCAACGTTGTTCTCATGAAGTGAAAGCTTCCCATACTCAGCTCTAGAGCTTGATATCAAAAGGGTTAGAACATTTCAGTTCACTGAACTAAATTCCTGTCCACTTCCTGTCCATTTGCTGGCAAGGGACTCAAGCACAAAGCAGGAGAGGAAGGGAAAGGGAGGGAAGGAAAGGAAGGATGTCAGTAGCTGGTTCCCAGGAGTGCTGGTGGCCCAGTCTACGCTCAGGCTAGCTTGGCTTCTCAGGAGTTTCTTCAAAACCAATGCCGAGACTCAGAAGACTTGTAAAACACTTGGAGAAGCCTCAGCAGCTTGGGAATCATAAGAAAAGCCTCCTCCTGCCTTTCAAACCCTCCAGAATTCCTAATTATGAGGCTGTAGCTCTGGACCTGCTTCTGAGCCTGTGGATTCACACCTTGGTTGCTTGGCCCTTTGATGGCAGCTTCTCCCCTGGATGTCTTCTCTGCAGGCTGAAAGTTACTTTCTCCAGAACTCAGCCTGAACTCAGCATCCTGAAAGCCAGCTTGGACCCCTCGGTGGCAGGACTGGCCGCCTTGGCATGAATGGCTCTGTTTGGTCAAGAGTGAGGGCTCTGGAGCCACAGTCTCCAAATCCAAGCACTGACACTAACTATATGATTCAGGTCAGGTCAGGTATTTTAATATAGACATGGAACATAAATGTAGAAATAATAATCATTTACATACTTACAATATAAACATAATGTTAACTACATTCAGAGTGTATTTTGTACATATTAAGTTACATGTATTATTTTTGCATTTAATTTTATATATGTTTAGCATTAAGATGTATTTCATAGGACACATTTAAGTTCGCATAAATATAGTTATGTTGTTTTCTTATTTTTTACATATCTCTCTGCAGGGATAGAGGGAAAATAACAGGTGTTTCAACTTTCTAGTTTTCATCTGACCCTACAGATATAGCACTCTAGTTTCTACAGACTGCTATAAGAGGCAGAGCAAGATTTAAATAAGCTTAAACCTGATCATATCATTGGGAAAATTGCAATCTACAGAGATTCCTATATAAATATTATTTATTAGATTCTTGTGGTGTTCCTCTTTCAGATATCTTTCTAGCAATTTCCGCAATAATTTCATTTAGTTCTTGTCACATTTCAAAGGCTTTCTAATTTCTGGAGCAAATAGCCCAAGATAGAAAAGTGTCAAAATACATATCTTATTAATCATATGGACATTTGCAGATCTTGATATCACCAATAACTATTGATACTGGGAGATGCTTCTGAGTGCAGTGGCTCTGAAAACAATAGGCTTTGCCTTTTTAAATTGCTTTGTTGGAAGTAGAATAAGGGTAAAATTTTCCTCTATCTTCACAATCATAAATAATCCATAGATTAAATGTTTTACTCCCATAATCAATAATATTTTCCCCATCTAGCCATTGAGATCAATGAAGAGACTCCTCCTTGGCTTGATGGTAAGTGTAACACTTACCAACTCCCACAGAAGCCACATCCTTTTCAGCAAATAGAAAACATCTGTGAACATGAACTCACTATCAGTTTGAATACTGAAAGAGAAGACTGAGGTTACTTCTGGCAAACATGAAGTCAAGTCTCTGGTATTTCTTTGTCTTCTGCTTCCAAACTGAAATTCTAGCAGGTGAGTGGTTTACTGAATATTTCTTATAAAGTTATATCTCAAATGAGCATTAAGAAAAATCAAAAGTTGAAAAATTAGACACCAGATAGGAAGTTACTTTGTTTGTTGAGGAACAGTTTTAGAACAGCTCAAGCACATGGTAAAGGTAGAGTGTCATCTGTTTTTATAGCATTCAGTTTTCATTGTTGCTCTTGATACTGTGTTTTAAGATGAAAAAAATATGTTTCAATAGACCATTAAGATTTAAATTACTTGCTTGGAGGAGTTACCTGTCAGCAGATAAAGTAGAAAAGTAGCTTACTGTTCTGGGAAAAGGATAAAAGGCAAAATGACTTGTGTCAACAGAATGAAAGTTAAATAGCCCTGGCACTTGGGCTATGAATTCTTCTGTGTTGGAAAATAAAAAGGAAGGGCTTCAAAAAGAAGGATTTTGATTTTAATCTTATCTAGATGATCCATTGTCTGAAATTCATAGGTTGCCATAGACTTTTTATTGACTATGTACCAGGCTTTCCTGAGAGACCAGGAGAAATGGATGATTAAAAATATTCTCCAGCCCTTCTAAACATTAAAAAAGGCATTCAAAAGTCTTTGATTATTTTCTCTTGAGTGATATATATCAGATTATATATTAACAAATTGACTAATGCTATCTACAATATAAGTTAAGATACATCCTTCTATTGCTTTTTACTCGACATGTTGTGTTACTTTTCTAACTCTGGACTCTATTCTTGAAATTGGAAAAAGAAAAGTGAAATTGTATTAAATGGAGGTGCTCTTTTAACAGAAAATGTGAGCAGCAGAGCTTTTAGTGGATATGATCTCATCTAGAAGCACATTTTCAGTGGTTCAAAGAAACAGATATTACTTTTCTCTCCAAAAAAATTTCAAAATCAAAATCTGGATTGATCCATCATTTGATCTTGTGATGACCTAAATGCTTTTAAGGGGAATGAGGAATGAGGAATTAGGGTCTATTTGTGACAAAGCCCAACAGGAGTTTTAGGCTAATTGCTTGTTTACACATTTTCTACAACCTCATGAATGCCTTTTGCAGCATAAGCAACATATGAATAGCTCTTGAATTGAAATTAATTCATTCACTCATTCACCAGTACATCCATCGTTCATCACGCAGTACTGAGCACTAGCCACTATGCCAGCTGCCAGGTGTACAATGATGGGCTCAACAACATCACTCCTCGTTCTCTTGGGACAAGCTAACTAACTTGGGAGAGAAATTAATTAAGTAGGCCCAGGAATTAAGGATAATTATAGCCAAAATTCAACTCTAGAGAGAATGTAACAGGACTATGACTAGATTGGGTGGGTGTGTGGGTGGGGATGGGGAGCAAGGTTCACTAAAGTCTTTTCTGAAGAAGTGGTAGTTGAATTGAGATTTAAAGGACAAGTAGGGATCAATGGAAGAGTAGTGTGAAGGTGGGAAGGAGCACTCTATGGTGTGGAGAAAGCAATGCTTATGCCTGGAGGGGGGAAGGTAAGACTAGAGAGCTGGAAGAAGGGAGATGCAGCTGAACTTAGAATGGGAAGTGTGGGGATGGTGCAACATGCGGCTGGAAAGGAAAAAGCGGCCTGACTCTTCAGACTATAGGGCCATATACTACTCCAGTGTACATCATTTTATTTGAAGTTGTAAATTTATAGAGTAGTAGCCTGTCACTTTATGTACTACAACATTTCAAAACCAAATAAAACTATTTTTTATTATTTAAAAAATTTTGGATTTTCTTTCATGAACATTTGTACAAATCGTTGTCAACATATCAACTCATTTGTGCCATTATGATGGTATTAATAGCCCCAGCACCTGGGCTGGGATTATACTCTTGTACTCTAAGAGATACGAATTAGCATTGGTGTTATTTCTGTGGAAGGATAGATCTAGCCTTAGGTGAGATCATTACAATTTGCCAGACTAAGCTGATGAATACGTTGTACTTCTAGAATAATATCCATTTTAGATTCCAAATGAATACTTCCAGGATTTGCTCTTATCACACAGAAAACTGTGCTACATGGCATGCCATTTTCCAATATGATTGGTGGTAAAACTGAGGCATATGTGCCTAAATGGTGATCATAAATACAGTAATGATAGTCATATTCAAAATCCCACCATGACATGTGCCTCCAACAACTGCCACTTTAAAAGCAAAAACAGAGCCAAATTCAAGTAAAGTTTCACACTTGATCTTAGCCAAAAGCCAAGAAGTGATCAAGTACAGTTTCAATCCTTTCAATTCAGTAGGCTTTCTCACTACCTAAAGGGAAAGGTAGTCTTACCTTCACTCAGTGCTTGAAAAAAGAATGTCAGGCCAAGAAAGGCTAAGTGGTTTGTTATACAATAATTAGTATCTGGACTAAGATCAGAGTTCCAATATATCTGACTCCAACACTTAACATTTATTCCACACTTTGTTGAAGTAACAAATCTCAAGGGAGAGAATTTTTGACAATTTTGATATTTAGCAGGTGAACTAAGAAGGTTGTAAATCTTGGAGAGTCTCAATCTTTGATGGGTCTCCATGTAAAATAGAAATGAAAAAAATGTGAACTTCTAACTGTATTTAGAATACCTTTTTTTCTAGGATTCATGGGTAGGGGGAACCACACAGGTGACCTGCTGAATTCTGGTTTAGAAAGACTATTCTGAACACGGTGTGGGGAATGCAGTCTGTGGGAATGACTGAAGGGGGTTTGCCGAAGAGAACCATTTGTCTCATGGTATTCTGTCGGGAAGCTGAAGGACACCTTTGTGCAGTGTACCATCTGAAGCCGTATACTGTAATCCCTGAATTCCTCCACTGCATGTGATCCTCCTCCCAAGAACTCAGAGAGAAGCTAATGGAGATGAACTGACTTTTCAGCCCCTGCCAGTCTCTCAGAACTCTGCAGAAATGTTTTCTTTTGGAATTAGCCCTTCTAGTATTCATGTAGAATTTTAAAAGAAAATCCAAATTGCCAATCTTTTCTTTTGATAGATGAATGCAAGTCATTCTCATTCAGTATAAGAAGAGTAATTCTTTTTATTCCTCCAGAATTGTGCTTATTTACTACTTATTTTCCTTTGTTGTGAAATATTTTCTTTTATTTTTGTTGGTACAACGAAGTTTGTTCAAACTCCCTTCTTTGTCTTTGATACATTTGGAAGGTGGGCTACATGTCTTAATTCATTAAGTGATTATCAGATTCAGGGGATCTCAGCTGAGTGTCTATGTATGCCTTGCCTGATAGGCCTAACTATTATCCCCTGCCCTGACATCAGAACTTGATGATATCCTTCCCTTGCCACTTTCACACTGTTTTTAATAGTGTAGCCCTACCCCATACATTGGTTTTGTTTAATTTAAAAGTTATAGCAGCAGACCATGGATAGCTTTCCTCTCACAGCATTTCCATTTCGAGAGTCCTTTCTTCACATGTACATCGGGTCACATCTGTTAGTGACAACATCATTCTGGACACATGCAGCTGTCTTGCAGCCTCTGTTGTGAACTAGTGGCCATTCTTTCCTCCAGGTCTCCTCAACTCTTTTGAGTCCTAGCTGCCTTTCTTTTGCCCTGATAGGTGTTTGCTGTCTTTTCTGGGCCTTGGATACTTGGGCTGCAGTCTCTTCTCTCAGTGTCCTGTGGGTTTCCACCCACTGTCTGCTGGGTTATAGGGTTTTGAGTGAAGAGCTCCAGGCTAGTTTGAAACCCACTCTTTTATAAGGAGCTTCAAAACTACCACCACCACCCTAGAATTTTGCAAACCTGAAAGTTATTCATTTAAATACTGAGATTGATAGATTCTACCAGAATATCCTTCTGTTTCCTTGTGAATTTTCATTAATGTTTATTAGGACTTGGTGAGCTTTTTAAATTTGCAGATTTAAGATTTCTTCTTCACTTCAGGCATTTTTTTTTCTTCTAGTACTTTAAAAATCATATCTTTTCCTCTGCTCCATTTTTCTAGAAGGTTATTATTCTCATGAAAGATCTAGAGTCCCCTTTTTTCTCATTATTAGTAAAGAAAATGACTTTCATAGCTTGGGTTGCTTGTTAACCGAATTCCTTCAGATGAAATAGAATACTGTAGTTTTTAAGTTGTTAGAAGCATATTCCCATTTCTTGGTAAAAACAAAATGTAGGTATGTAAGGAGGACTAAGATTCTCATCTTAGGTTTGCTGTCTGTATAATCCATAACATTACTGGACTAAAAATATTAATATAAGTATTCACAGTTGTAAATGGAACACAACTTACAACTTACAATGTATGCTACTGTCATCTTCTAAGAATATTGAATTTGATATGTAAAGCTATTTACTGAGCTTTCCAAATTTTTAAAAATATATTTTGAAATCATTGGTTGTCTATGAGTACAAAAGGTCACATCTTCTTTGTGAGTGGTACCTCTGTGCTACTGCTCTAACAAACTCAGTCCGTGAAATGGCATTTTTTGTCATTGTATTGTCTTCAAGAAAAAAAGGGCATTTGGCACCATGTCCTTGAAATGCCCCTTTTGTTTCCCTAAGATTCTTGCCAAATTAGTGGGACATTTCAGCACATAGGGATTGGAGTATCAGACTAAATATTATTTGAGGGAACTTAGGAACTGAAAAAGCTAGTATTATATGTAGAAACTTCCTTTTTGCCTGTATGCCAAGTCAGCTGTTCCCTGGAATGCTAGTCACACACCAAAACAAAACAAAGCAAGCCAATGATGTCACTGCTTGTGACAATTAATAAAATTCCCTCCCTATGATAACTGAGTTTGGGACAGACCATTGTGGAATGCTACAGGCCAGGTGGCTGCTACTGGACAACCCATATATTCTCTGGAAATATCCTGTTCAGCCAGCCAACACTGGACACTGCAAGTACTCTCTGGTGGTATCCACTCCCTCATACCTTCTGGCAAGTAACTAGTACATCCTTCTTCCCCAAGTCCTTATCCTTTTCCCAAGCCTATTCTTTCCTATCCTAGTCTCAAG